TCTCGGTGCTCCAGGCTCCTTGTTAGGAGCAGGCCCTGGAGGTGTCACATAGGAACAATGAAGCCTGATAAATTACCCCCCTGAAAAAATAAACTGAAAAGATGTACTACTAATTTTCAATTACACCTATAATGCATTCCCAATTGGAGAGAGAAATTGGACATGTGTGGAGGAGAAGCTAACAACCATAGGCTCAAAACAGCTCTCTGTTTGTCTAAGAGCCTATGATATCTAGAGTGTATTAGCAATAAATTACATGGTGTTTAATGTAACAGCTCGCTGCTGATTTAACAGAGAACAAGAAGGAATATTGATGCCAAATAATGTCTCCTTATTACATTAGATGTTTTTTTTTGTTAGAGGATAATCACAGCCAACAATACCAAATTGCATTCTCATTTAATTTAGCCTAGTCCCAAAAAGAAATATGTTTATTTTGAAAAAGAACATTTGTGTTTTCTTTTTTTCAGGAGAGAGAGAGAAAAGAGGAGAGAGTTTGAAGTGTGTGTGTGGGAGCTGCCTGTCTGCAGCTCTCTAAACCACTTAAGAGACACTGTGTTTCAAACTGGCATCGCTAACGGATGATGTTGTAGAGAATATATCAAGGCCAAATAATAGTCCTTGAAACGGGTGAAAGGGGATGTGAGAACTGAGGAGGGTCAGACATGTGGAACATGTGTATCTGTCTTCATGTGTGTGAATGCATTTGACTACAGCAGGAGCAAGGCAGAAAGCCTAATGGGAGTGGGCTTAACTCTTGCACACAGCCTCGCTACATATCTGATTACTGGGACCAGTAATTTTCTTTCCTTAAATAAGGAAGAAATTGGATAGGATGAATGAAATTTGGCTGTCATATTGCAATGATGGTGCAGCAGGGAGATTATGTGTTTCACATAATCGTTCATCATTTCCCAACCAGTGTTCGGGCTTAGCATAATGGAATTGGTAAACTGGTTTAAATCAGAACGTGAGAACAGACTATCAGGCAGACTGGGTCTGTGGTAATGTCTTCAGACCAAGCAAGAATATTTTCAACACTGCTGCACACACACACTGAAATACCAAACACTACAGGGAGAGGCTGTCTGCATCTCTGTCTCTAAACACTGTCAGAATACATATAAACATGCCTTAAAACAGGCTTGTTTTTCCGTGATTATTTGTACCTTATTTCACCTTTTCTCTGCCTGTGATTTAAGCTTTTTTCATGCATGGACTTACATTTTGTAGAAGAGTGTCCGGACTCATCCTTAAATGATGAAGATAGATGATCAGACAAGTCAAAAAACATTTTAAATGTTGTTACATATCAACAATCTCCTTTCAGATATTAATAAAATACATCTAATCGATTCAAATAATAATATAATAATAATAATAATAAACCTTTCATGCACAAAGCAGCCCAAAGTGCTGATGATTAAACAATAAAGTACAATTGAACAATGGGATTAATATTCATATTACAATATTTGTTATACATAATGGATACTTTTATATAGCCATTCGTCTGTCTTAGTTCAATAGTTTTTTTACTTAAGCATTTTCCTCTGCACTGCATTTGAATGTGCCCAGAGTCTGATTTCACGGACTAAGTAATACGTTGTCGATGTCCACTCACTGTTTCTTACATGTGTGACCACTGTATGTCGATAATGCTTCTTTATAAGGTATGACACATGTTTTGTGTATACTTATATTGTATACAATTAAAGTTTTTCCTCTATACTATGAACAAAAACTCTGAAATTAAACGTATCTATCATACCTGTTGAATGTATCTGGAAATGACTATGATTCCTTAAAAAGGGACACTCAATGGTATTTTACTATATTAATAATTAGTATTTTAATTGACATTACCGGAAAGAGTTTAGATGAAAAATAAATATTTTATTTCAGTTGATCATAACAAAAAAGAAAATACTTTTTTATGGAAGCTGATGCTGAATAAAAAAAATTCCTGCAATAATCTGTGTACTTGTGATATGCTTCTTCACGAATTGTTATTATTTTATTTTTTGTATCCATTTCAAAACTTTTCCTAGGTTGATTCATTTTAAGTCATGCCCAGCCAAGTGATCATCTTGATGTTATGTCCACGCAGAAGTCAGAAGCCTTTCAGAATTGGAAGTTACTTAAAATGTAAAACACAATTTGACAGTTTACATGTATGAGCCCAGCCCTGATCAAATCCAACATTTCTCAAATTATTATTGTGATACATTTCAAATAAGAGATTATTGTCTTTATTTGATACAAATATTTGTCCCATTGAAGTTTGTTTTACCCTTGAGCTTTGTATTGAATCTCATGTGGAGTCTCATGTAGCCAGATCAGAATGAATATGTGATTTAGAGGAATAACAGTTCCCAGGAGGTTATCTGTTGGCCACTAGGTGGCACAGTGGTTATTTCTAAAAGACACGTTGCCGCCTGCTCTCTGTTTGAAGACCCTCAAAGTAAGTCTAATGTTTCTTAGCCAATCATTTATGAATGTATAACATTAGCATTAGCATCAAATTATCCTTAACTGCATTGTTGATAGATAAAGGTTTGAATGATGCATTTTATAGATTTGACTGTACCATGTTTCCTCTGTAACAGATAAGTGGAGGTCATCTAAAATGATTATGTTAAACCTGATATTTGATTTTATAAATGTGTAAGTAAAAGCCCTATAGCAATAGAACAAATATCAATACAGCATAGTGTTGAGTCAAGGATCATTGAAAATAGGTGTGACTATCACTGTAGATAAACTTCAGCACAGTGATTCTTTGATATATTGTATACCTCTTCCACAGCACATGTCAGTCACACAATTACTGGGACATTAACATTAAACGTCTCAATAAGGATTTTTATAGAACAAATGTAGTGTTCTGATGAAGGTTGTCTTCCTGTGAACTGCTTAAAAAAGCTCTCGTATTAAGAAGATTCAGGTCTCATCATGACATAAATTGTATTGTATGATTTTTTTTAAATCCCAGTGGCCTTGCAGGGGTTTACTGGACCTAATCCATACCTGAAGTATAACAGAGCACAGAAACCACAACTCTGCATATTTGTAAGGTATGGTCGTTCTTGAGCAGAACACAAGACGTTTGTTTTACCAGATCAGGATGAATGATGATTTAAGACTTCAGGTAAGACCGGAGATTGAGCAAGTGATTTTAGTTAGAAATTCTTCTAATCCAAAAATATGTGGCAAACATATGTATTACTTTGTGATTCCTTAAATGATTAATACTAAGTGGAGAAACCAATGTTTTTCTTGGACAAAATGTGATTTAACACAAGACAAAAAGGTTGCCTTTGCACACATGCATTTCCAAACATTTGGACTACCTATGTTGCAAATGTATTATCTTTTCAATTTACACACGGCATCTATTGCACGTCTGTCCGTCCTGGGAGAGGGATCCCTCCTCTGTTGCTCTCCCTGAGGTTTCTCCCATTTTTCCCTTTAAACTGTGGGTTTTCTTCGGAAGTTTTTCCTTGTACGATGTGAGGGTCTAAGGACAGAGGGTGTCGTATTGTCATACTGATATTTTGTACAAACTGTAAAGTCCACTGAGACAAATGTAACATTTGTGATATTGGGCTATATAAATAAACATTGATTGATTGATTGATTGATTGATTGATTGATTGATTGATTGATTGGGGGACATTTTCTAAATGACAGTTTGTAGGACACTTATGGCCACTCCATGGCATTTATAGGCAAGGCAAGGCAAGGCAAGGCAAGGCAAGGCAAGGCAAGGCAAGGCAAGGCAAGGCAAGGCAAGGCAAGGCAAGGCAAGGCAGGCAAGGCAAGGCAAGGCAAGGCAAGGCAAGGCAAGGCAAGGCAAGGCAAGGCAAGGCAAGGCAAGGCAAGGCAAGGCAAGGCAAGGCAAGGCAAGGCAAGGCAAGGCAAGGCAAGGCAAGTTTATTTATATAGCACTTTTCAACACAAGGCAATTCAAAGTGCTTTACAAAAAATGAAAATGAAAGAGATTAAGAAAATGGCATTTAAAATCAGTCATTAAAAAGAAAAGCTAATAAAATAAACATTAAAAGAACAAATACATGGATAAAAGTTACAGTGCAGTCAATTAAACATTAAAAGAAAAAAGTACATGGATCAAAGTTAAGCTAAGCAGACTAATGATTTTGCTATCCCTCTAATGTAAATAAATAGACTGTTGACTGCTTTAGTCAGTATTTAAACTTTATCATGAACAGTTATGTTGTATTATCATATTATTTGACTTTTGTGAATGATGCATGTAAACATAATTGTAATATTGCAAATAGGAGAGAGTGAGCTCATTTATACTGTAGGGTAGATTGAGAGCATCATCATTGAAAATACTGAACTTCCTCTTTCTTTTATTTCTGAATGACCACCTGAAGCAACTTCCACAATCGTGGTGCACATTTTCACTGGAGAACCTTCTTCCTACTTGCCGTACATCTTTCTTCCAACTGCCCAATGCTGACACGCATTATTATCATGTACATGTATTAATATTAATACTGCCCAAATTCTATCTACACCTGGCTATGTGAGGCTCCGCATAACACACTTCTACTTTTCTATTTTGTAACATTTTGTATCACAAATACACTTTTTTATTTATTTAACAGTTTTATTTAAATCAATATAACTTTACACTATAGTGTTTAATCTGCAATTTGCACCTCCCTTTGTTCTTGATGTAGGCCTACATGTTTTTATAGTTGTACTTTTTACTTTACTATGGGTGTTTGCACACAATTTGGCATCCATTTGGAATAGCTATGCAAAGTAACTCTTAACTAATGATGTACAAATAAAAGTAGTGGAGTAAAAATTACAATATTGGCATCCAAAATGTATTGCAGTATTGTGAGAATAAAGTTGCATGGGACGATGGAAACACTACCTCAAACATGTTGCCTACAGTACTTTAGTAAATGTAATCAGTTACTTTCCACCATTGCCTTTACTCTCTTAAAGGGCCATGACAACCAAAATACAGCAGGAAGATGTCAGTTGGAGCTCAGCTGTAGTTTTTTTTGTTATATATATAGCCGTTAAGAAACAGAATCGGGCTTTTTTGGCATAGTTTCTATCGAGGTGTAACAGTAAACATAGCAGTCTACCATGGAGTCACCTCTCCTGCCTCCACACGTCTCTCCCGGTGCCTCAAGGAGCACCTGTCGTCCCGACATCCTTTGCGTGTCCAATATGGAAGAATTGGTGGTGGAGGTCCGTGGCTCCAACGGGGCTTATTACAAGGTAAATACCGGCTTATCAGTTTAGCGTCAAACACGACATCATCGTTGAACGATACAATATTTAAGTTTGATTGTCACGGTCCAGGCCAACGGTTTCCAACTTGCTCTGAACCCAATAGCAGCTTGCTATTAGCTTGTACTAGCAATGCTAGCCAAAATTAGCTGGCTAAGCTAGCACCGTTCATTTGTTTTTGCTAACTGACACTTTTTAACGACCTTTCTTTATACTTAAAATGGACGAAACAAGTTTTTATCTTAAGTTATTGAAATATATATCCCATAAATGCTTTTATTCAGTGTTTTTGACAAGCGTTTACAGCTTCACCGAGCTAAAAGTTAGCTTACTGTTGACGTCAAAAGATGTGGCTCAACTTAATTGTGTTTAGACGCTGCGTTGAAAAATATGTGCTGCTGATAGTAGCTGTATATCATTTATTCGTTTAGTGGAGTTATATAACTGATATCAGGGCTGCTGATTATATATATATATTAATGTTATTAAAGTATGTGATGTTTAGGAGGCACCGTGGCTAGTTATAACAGGGATTCTGAAAGGCACCAACTCAACGGCTGTCTATTACTTGATACTTCATCACGTCGAAGCTATTTTTTGTATGTGTATGTGTTTGCCAGCTGTTCCTTGTCAATCCTGACCAGCTGGCATGCCAGGAGAGGGTCACTGATACCGCAGACTACAAAGCTATTTGTAGACCTACTGGCTGTCTCTTTGCCTCCCATCTCATCTCCTCAGTTTCCTCTCTCCTTCTCTGGTCTCCTCTGCTCCACGAGCTCTTTCCTTTTATCCTTTCTGGCCTCAACTCCTCACATGACTTGTTTCTGAGTTCCCCAGCTTGGTTACATGACTCATCATGACTCTTGAACCTTTTTTTATGGCTCTTATTCTATGTTTCTATAAAAATGCAATGTGATTGACACCCTACCTACAAACCTTTAACTTTGGAACTGTCTTAACTTCCTGAACACTAAGGACATTTTTGGTGTGTGTTTACATCCAGTCAAAACACTTCTTTTACAGTTAACAGTCTTGATGTGTATGATCTGCAAAAAATACTGGAAAACTATTTATACACTTCAACTAATGCTTTTTACAATCAGATTCATTTGTATTTTTTATGTTTTGATCAATCATTCTCCCTCTACACAATATAACATGGCCATTACAACTCCTACAATACCTTCAAATTGTATTTTAATGGTTTTGAATTCAGTTTTGTTACAGTTTGATTCCTACCAGCATTACAAAGTAACATGAAGTATCTCTGTTACTCTTAATAACCAGAAGCACTTGCTGTGAATAGTCTTGTTGGTAATTACTTATATATGTTTTTATCACAACCCAACAAACAAGGTAGTTGTTTTTAGGCCAAGTCTCTGGGTTATGTGTTCTTTACATTGCATTTGTCCGACTTTTGTTGAGCTCCTGTAAATGAATACCAAATGCCTGTAATGCATCCTTTTCTAATATTGTTTATTACCATAAGTCAAAGTCAACATTCTCTTTCTTGTACTTAAAATAGGTGGCACCTAATTTGAGTCAGCAGTCATGTTCTTATGTGTTTACCCCGGTCTGTGTGTCCTGCAGGGCGTTGTCAAAGATATCCACGATGACTCTCTCACCATTGCCTTTGAGAACAAGTGAGTGGCTCTTTTTCCTCTGTTCTAGCTGTTATTTGTCAAACATGACAACATGTAGTACACATGTAGTACACATGTAGTACACTGCCATGTTTTAGCAAGGTAATAAATAGGGATGCACGATATTGGTTTTTTGAAACCGATACCGATAACTTCCTGCTTCTCAAGACCGATACCGATAACCGATAACAAAAAAAATGTACGCCACTAATTATTTTAACGCGATTAACGCATGTGTATTTTTTGTCCTCGGCCGCCCCGTAGTTTCAGAGCACATCGAGTTTAAAATACCATCTACAAGCTGATGCTGACAGCCCCGCTCCTGCTGCCTGCTTGTGGCAGACCACACTTCCACGCTCACCGGCAGGCACCGACTGGCCATCTGGAGGACCGGGAGGGTGTATGTGTGGCCCGAGCGAGCGAGAGAGAGACCTTACGTGCATTGTTGTTGTTAGCATCTGGTGCTAGCTAGCTGCGCTAACGGATATAAGGAGCTGTTTAAATGAAAACAGAGGAGCGACATTTCGCCACAACTGCGCCGAGCACTTGACTTTATGCAGGAAGCCAGACAGTGGGACATTGTACGCATGATTGCAGCGTCCAGGCAGCTCCGGTTCGAGCATATGCCTTGAGTTGCACATAGCTCCAACGCCCATACCACCGACGACATGTTTGTTTACTGTCCTGGCTTCACGGCCGCACACCATTTACGTCACAGCCAGGCATGAGTTAGGGAGCGCTGGATTTGTGAAAAACTCCCCTCTTCCTAAACCACTAATACCACAGTACTGGCAAAACGGGAGGAGCCGAGTGAAAAACAAGCGCCCCTCATCCCAATCCACCCACACCGCAGTATTCTTTTCTTTTTTTTACCCAAAAAATATATTGTATATTATCGGGGCTATTAATACTGGTATCGGGTTTATCGGGACGACGTCATAATTCCTAATATCGGACCGATATGCATATGTGCATCCCTAGTAATAAATATATGTTATTTTCAGTTGGCAGCCAGAGCGCCAGGTTCCCTTCCATGATGTCAGGATGCCACCGCACGCTGACTGCAAGAACGAGATTGGAGAGGGCGAGGAGGTGGAGGTGAGGAGGTCACACACATGTATAAATATATTTGAATTTCCTTCATTATGCCTATTGTACTTGTGTCTTACTCTGTTGGGGTTTTAATCTCCCATCAGATCCTCTCCAGAGCCAATGATCAAGAGCCTTGTGGTTGGTGGCTGGCTAAAGTCTGCATGATGAAGGGAGATGTGAGTATTGTTATGAAAGCAGTATCCACACACTCCATATTAATACTGATACTAATACAGATACATTTTTTAGTGGTGCTCTGTTGTAGCCTTATTGTCATTCACTAGCAGAGCATTGATCGAAGTATGTAGCTAATATAGTTTTTATGTTGTCTTTTATTAAAGTGTTATTTGAAAAAACTTGTTTTCACAATTGCACTTTTATATAGTAAAATCAATTCATCAGAATCATAGTATGTTATCGTAGTGGACATTTGCTTTTTCATCAGTTGCTTCATTTTAGAATGCAATAAAATAAAATAAAAATAAATAAAGAATACGATAAAAGTATATATATTTAAACATAAGAAGTTAAAGTAAGGATGTGCAAAAAATCTAATTGAATACATATATTTACATAAACATTAGAAGTAAAGTAGTATAGTTTAAGTAGTTAGGTTTTCAGAGGTTAAAGTAAAAATGTGCACATTGTTCTACAAGTATATTAGAAAATGTTGTTGCGGAATGCGACAGTTTAAAGGGATCGCTTTAAAATGTTGGTGTTTATTATTTATTCCCACTGAGCATGTCTCTCTTCTCAGTTTTACGTGATAGAGTATGCAGCCTGCGACGCCACCTACAATGAGATCGTGACCTTTGAGCGTCTGCGTCCGATCAACGCTAACAAGGCCATCACCAAGAACTCCTTTACCAAGTGCACTGTCCCTGTTCCTCAGGATCTACAAGAAGCGTATGTTCATTATCTTACCACTGACAACTTCAGGAGGGACACATCTGAAATCCATGTACTAAATAATGCAATGATAGTAATGAAAAATAACGACCGTTTATATAGAAGATTGTTTATTGTAGGTGTTGCATTTATCTTTATATATCTCCAATACTGTTGGATATAGTATTTGTTTACATAAAGGATTAGGAAATATTAACTAAAACATTTTTCTCATGTACCAGGTGCCAGAATGATGGCGCCCATAAGGAGTTTAAGAAAGCCGTGGGAGCCTGTCGCATCACATACTGCCCTGAGACCAGCGAACTAGTGATTGTGGTAACAGGCTTTGGACATTTTGATATTCATTTGAGCATCCACACTATCACACGATATGTTCCGACTTCTTCTTGCTCATGTTTAGACAATGGTTGACTCACTTACGATTATAGTTGTCGTCAACAAGGGAGCAGCCCAACATATTTTATTTCTTTCTTTACATTTTATGTCCTGTGGTTGTATGTGTAGTCTACCAATGAGGCGACAGTGAAGCGTGTGTCCTTGCTGAGCGACATGCACCTGCGCAGCATCAGGACCAAGCTGCTGCTGATGTCACGCAACCACGAGGCCACAAAACACCTGGAGGTCAGTGGGTTTAGTCGCTCTTGTGAACACATGAGGTCACACATGAAGCTTTAGCGCTATATTATATGAATTACGTCTGGAGAATCAGGTCGGCACATTAGCCATGGTTTCCCTTTTTGCACATATTGGGCGAAACAGGAGATTGTCTTTTTCGGTATCTGACATTGGTGTTCTCAAAAAAAGAGGTAATGTCTAGACAACTTCATGTGTAAAGGGGGAACCATTTGTAACCTCAATCTGATAATTGTTGAGTAGTTTTACACCTAATAATCCTGATAATGAGTGTTGAATCAGAAATGAAACAATTTGAGATATGTAAACCCAAAATTAGATGTTTTTTATGTTTTGATATTCATTTCAAACCTTTATTTAACCAGATTGGTCCCATTGAGATCATAGATCTCTGTTTCAAGGGAGACCTGCAGCAAATAGGTTCCACATGAAACATAAAACAACATAAAACAATAAAGGACATCATACAACATATTTACAGGCTACATTTACTCATACCCATAGTTTCAAAGAGCATTTCACTTAGACTAGCTTTAAAAACATGCAGAGGAACAAAATTGCTCAGTTTCAATTCTAGCTGCAGACTGCTCCAAGCAAGAGGAGCTGCGCACATAAAAGCTGTCTTACCTAAGACAGTCCTTGCTCTTGGCACATCTAACAATACTACATCATGCAATCTCAGACAATAGCTGCTTGCAACTCTGTGATCAGAGAACAGATGTAATACGGGAGTTTACCCAACATGGCTTTATATATGAACATGTACCAATGACTGAGCCTCTGTACAGTTAGTGAAGGCAAACCTGCCCTGGTATACAGTGATGAGTAAGTGCTTTACAATTAGTGACACATTTCAGTGCGCTGTGATAGGCGGCATCTAACTTGAGCAGGTAATGGGCAGGTGTATTCATATAGACCAGATCACCATAGTCCAGCACAGGTAAAAAGGTCACAGAGACTAGCCTTTTCCTGGCCTCAAGTGAGAAACAGGACTTGTTTCTGAAAAAGAAACCTAGTCTAACCCTCAGCTTTTTAAGCAGGTTATTGACCTGAAGTTTAAAAGTGAGACAATCATCAAGCCAGATACCAAGGTATTTGTAACAGGCAACCACTTCAAGTTGTGTTCCCTGCGCAGTAACAATATCCAAAGCAGTCTCTGGTGTCTTTTTAGCTTTTGAAAATAACATTACCTTAGTTTTTATTAGTGGTGCACGATAATTATCGGTCCGATATTAGGAATTATGACGTCGTCCCGATAAACCCGATAACAGTATTAATAGCCCCGATAATATACAATATATTTTTTGGGTAAAAAAAAAGAAAAAAATACTGCGGTGTGGGTGGATTGGGATGAGGGGCGCTTGTTTTTCACTCGGCTCCTCCCGTTTTGCCAGTACTGTGGTATTAGTGGTTTAGGAAGAGGGGAGTTTTTCACAAATCCAGCGCTCCCTAACTCATGCCTGGCTGTGACGTAAATGGTGTGCGGCCATGAAGCCAGGACAGTAAACAAACATGTCGCCGGTAGTATGCGACTATTTCAAAGTTTCAGAGTTAGATAGTTCGCTTGCTATTTGTATTAACAAATGCCATGCAGAAGTTCCACGAGGAGGGAAAAAGGCAACGAGCTTAATGACTGATTTTAAATGCCATTTTCTTAATCTCTTTCATTTTTTGTAAAGCACTTTGAATTGCCTTGTGTTGAAAAGTGCTATATAAATAAACTTGCCTTGCCTTGCCTTGCCTAATACTTCCAACCTGATTAGTCACCTGAAACATCGCCATCGCTACGATGGTGTGTTAAAAGCGTATGAAGACGCCTGCGCTGCTAAACTAGCGGCGAATCCAAAGCCAGCTGCAAAGGCACCGGGGCTTTTACCTATCGACGAGGCTTTTGAAAAAGGCAAGAAGTTTGCCAGAGACGACTCCAGGGCTAAAACGATCTCTAACTTCATCATAGAAATGATGGCGCTTGACGAGAGTCAAAACTGTTCTTGGCTTTGTTTTGTTCATAGTAGTAATGCTCATGTCATTTGCTCACCACTAGTCTTTTTTTTACCACCAGGTGTGCAAAAACTACAGCTACATTTAATATATATATATATTATCGGTTATCGGTATCGGTCTTGAGAAGCAGGAAGTTATCGGTATCGGTTTCAAAAAACCAATATCGTGCATCCCTAGTTTTTATCAACATTTAAAAGAAGCTTTAGTTCAGAGAGCTGAGTCTGAATAATGTTAAAAACAGCCTGTAATTTAACAACAGCCTCCTTAATGGAGGGACCTACACAATACATCACGGTATCGTCCGCATACAAATGTAAGGTTGCTCCATCGACATTTTCACCTTAACTGTTGATATAGATGGAGAATAAAAGTGGACCTAAAACAGAACCTTGTGGTACACCATTTGTAATGTTAAACCACTCAGAAGACAGCCCATAAAATTGAACACATTGGGACCTTTCAGAGATGCAGTTCACAAACCACCCCACTGCATGGCTGGATATGCCAATACTGACTAGCCTCTGCTTCAAGATGCGATGATCGACCGTATCAAACGCTTTGGAAAGGTGAATAAATAGAGCTGCACAACTCTGCTTATTATCTAAAATACTCGCCACATCATTCACAACTTTCATTGTGGCAGTGATGGTGCTGTGTTGCTTTCTGAAGCCTGACTGATGTTTAGATAGGATGTCATTTGTACATAAAAACTCCTTTACCTGCTCACTCACTAGGCGTTCAAGAACCTTAGCCAGAACTGACAATTTAGAGATGGGCCTATAATTATTTAAAATAGTTGCCTCACCTCCTTTCAGTAAAGGCAAGACATAAGCTGACTTCCATAGTTTTGGAATTGTGTTTGTGCTGAGGGAGAGGTTAAAAAGAGAAGTAAGATGTGGAGCAATAAAATCTGCAGCTATCTTTAAAAAGAATGGTTCTACGTTGTCCGGGCCAGCCGGTTTCTTAGGATCTAACTTGGATAAGGCTTCATGAACAACATTAATAGTAAAAGGAGTAAAACTGAAAGGGTTTTCCAGATCACATTGTTCAGAGTCACAGACTGTGGTGTGTATATATATATATAACATTTATTTTACTGCCTGTCCGCTTTGGCTCGAAAAATAAAGTTCAAGGATGGTGAATCATTTATAACTAATATATTAACTGATAGCATATGAAACTTGTGCAGACCTCCAGGCAGCTGGTGTCGTCCTTCCAGGAGGAGTTCATGGTCAGAACGGATCTGATGGGCCTGGCCATCGGCAGCCACGGCAGCAACATCCAGCAGGCGCGCAAAGTTCCAGGAGTCTCTGCCATCGACCTGGATGAGGAGACTGGAACTTTCAGGATTTATGGAGAGGTAGGTTGTCATGTGCACAAGTCTTGTTGGAGGCATCATTTGAGTGATGGGGAATCTTTAAAGCAACAAATGTTGAACTTTGTGGGACAGAATGTACATGTTTCATTCTTACCGTGGTTGTTTGTTGATTTTTCATTGGATTTATCCCTTATTTTGTTATAATAAAGCAACTGTGTGCATGTGTTCTGAAGATATAACAGAAAAAGTAACCCTGTGTTGCCTTTCAGACAGCGGAGGCTGTGAAGAAAGCCAGGAACTACCTGGAGTTTCTGGAGGACTTTGTCGAGGTGCCCAGGGCCCTTGTTGGTATGTAGACACATTTACACCCTAAGCTACAAATTCAAAAATCTTTTGCTAGGGGAAGACGACTATGAGATCCTCAATGCGTTAAGAGTAGTGCCACATTAGAGACAATTGTAATCTGATTTGTATTACAATACAGTGGGCATAGTCAGTCAGCCACCAATTGTGCAAGTTCTCCCACTTAAAAAGATGAGAGGCCTGTAATTGTTATCCTAGGTATACCTCAACTATGAGAGACAAAATGAGGAAAAAAAAATCCAGAAAATCACATTGTCTGATTTTTAAAGAATTTATTTGCAAATTATGGTGGAAAACAAGTATTTGGTCAATAACAAAAGTTCATGTCAATACTTTGTTATATACCCTTTGTTGGCAATGACAGAGGTCAAACGTTTTCTGTAAGTCTTCACAAGGTTTTCACACACTGTTGCTGGTATTTTGGCCCATTCCTCCATGCAGATCTCCTCTAGAGCAGTGATGTTTTGGGGCTGTCGCTGGGCAACACGGACTTTCAACTCCCTCCAAAGATTTTCTATGGGGTTGAGATCTGGAGACTGGCTAGGTAGACCCTCCAGAAAAACGCGATTCTGCGATCGCAGAATTTACCGCAAAATGGCGCAGATTTTTAAAAGGCCGCATATTTATCAAAAGGCCGCATAATCCCCGCATTTTTCCACACAAAGTTGAGAAAAAAAGTTAACTCGTCTTGACGTGAAGTGGTGATGATGATGATGATGATGATGACGCAACGTCATCAGCTCGCCCATCACAGAAGGTAAACAACACCGTAGAGTGAACGTGTGGAGCTCACACGAGAGAGAAAACACCAAGATGAAAAAATCTAATCCATCTCATTTACCGACGAACATTTCTGCTAAAGACCGGGCAAAGCAGTACCCCGATGTCTTGCACGAAAGTGGGGGGAAACTATTCTGCACCCCGTGCAACTGTGTGTTGGAGCATAAGAGAACATCGACGGTGACGACCCACTTTGATTCATTCAAACATTCGAAAATGCTTTCTGCTGCTGCAGACAAGAAAGCCAAACAACTCACGTTCACCGAGGCATCAACCTCCAAAACCCTTTCGAGGGCTACAAGAAACGAGGTGAGAAGCCTACAAGATTGAAGCTGGTCAGATAACGAACGAGTAAATGAAAACAGAATGAGGCGGAGAAGTGTGTGTGTGTGTGTGTGTGTGTGTGAGAGAGAGAGAGAGAGAGAGAGAGAGAGAGTGATTAAAATAGCCCAATGGCTTTTACAATAAATAAACATTGAATGTGTTTAATTGTATAGTAAAGGGGTTTAACGTTAGTGGCAGGTTGTGTGTGAGAGAGAATAAATAAATAAGACATCCCAATATTTATTTTAATCCGCATATTTAGCAACTTTCCGCATATTTCGCAACTTCCCGCAATTTCACCGCATAAAATCACATAAAACCCTGCATGTTTGATCGCATAATCAAGGATTTTTGCCCGCATAATCAAGGATTTTTTTCCCGCGTTTTTCTGGAGGGTCTAGCTAGGCCACTCCAGGACCTTGAAATGCTTCTTACGAAGCCACTCCTTCGTTGCCCGGGCGGTGTGTTTGGGATCATTGTCATGCTGAAAGACCCAGCCACGTTTAATCTTCAATGCCCTTGCTGATGGAAGGAGGTTGTCACTCAAAATCTCACGATACATGGCCCCATTCATTCTTTCCTTTACACGGATCAGTCGTCCTGGTCCCTTTGCAGAAAAACAGCCCCAAAGCATGATGTTTCCACCCCCATGTTTCACAGTAGGTATGGTGTTCTTTGGATGCAACTCAGCATTCTTTCTCCTCCAAACAAGTTTTTACCAAAAAGTTCTATTTTGGTTTCATCTGACCATATGACATTCTCCCAATCCTCTTCTGGATCATCTAAATGCTCTCTAGCAAACTTCAGACGGGCCTGGACATGTACTGGCTTAAGCAGGGGGACACGTCTGGCACTGCAGGATTTGAGTCCCTGGCGGCGTAGTGTGTTACTGATGGTAGCCTTTGTTACTTTGGTCCCAGCTCTCTGCAGGTCATTGACTAGGTCCCCCCGTGTGGTTCTGGGATTTTTGCTCACCGTTCTTGTGATCATTTTGACCCCACGGGGTGAGATCTTGCGTGGAGCCCCAGATCGAGGGAGATTATCAGTGGTCTTGTATGTCTTCCATTTTCTAATAATTGCTCCCACAGTTGATTTCTTCACACCAAGCTGCTTACCTATTGCAGATTCAGTCTTCCCAGCCTGGTGCAGGTCTACAATTTTGTTTCTGGTGTCCTTTGACAGCTCTTTGGTCTTGGCCATAGTGGAGTTTGGAGTGTGACTGTTTGAGGTTGTGGACAGGTGTCTTTTATACTGATAACGAGTTCAAACAGGTGCCATTAATACAGTTAACAAGTGGAGGACAGAGGAGGCTCTTAAAGAAGAAGTTACAGGTCTGTGAGAGCCAAATACCAAATACTTATTTTACCGAGGAATTTACTAATTAATTCATTAAAAATCCTACAATGTGATTTCCTGGATTCTTTCCCCCCATTCTGTCTCTCATAGTTGAAGTGTACCTAGGATGAAAATTACAGGCCTCTCATCTTTTTAAGTGGGAGAACTTGCACAATTGGTGGCTGACTAAATACTTTTTTCCCACTGTATATGTGCAACTCCTTATTTACCATAGTTATTCACTCCTTTAAAAGATGCGTTTTGTCGGTCCATCATCTCTTTGACTTGCCGCTCATATTTTCCCTGCTCTCTGTCCCCAGGCAAAGTGATCGGTAAGAACGGGAAGGTCATCCAGGAGATTGTGGACAAGTCGGGTGTGGTGAGGGTTAGGATAGAAGGAGACAAGGACAACAAGCAGCCCCGACCGGAAGTAAGCCTGCTACTGCCTTTCTTCACTTCCTGCTCAAAGAGTATAGCTGAAAGCTTTCACCAGTTTTGCTAAATCTATACAAATAATGTGCACACTCTTTCCATTTACTCAGTCCCATACTAACATAAGCCCTGTGTTTTTTTGTGTTTTGACGACACAGGGAATGGTCCCATTCACATTTGTCGGAACTAAGGAGAGTATCGGCAACGTTCAGGTCTTGCTGGAGTACCACATCTCTTATCTCAATGTAAGGAAACGTACGTGTGTGTGTGTGGCCTAACAGGCATTGACTTAGCCACAAGCGTGTATATAGAGCTTCATCAGCTTTGCTAAAGTGTAAATAGTATCACTGCATTCATTTTGCACTGTGCCGATAGCCAAACAAAGTGATGTCAAAATTATAAACTCTAATGGTGCGTTCACACCGGACGCGATGCGATGTTTGGGGCGGCGCGATTACATGTAAAGTCAATGCAGAGACGCGGACGGACGCAAATTCGCTCCGACGGCGAGCATGAAGCGGTGGACGCGAATTCTGTGGCGCAATTGAACGGGGCCGCCACAAACGCTCGAGTTCAATTTTTTCAACTTGAGCGTTATGTTCGCATGACGCGATCTCGCGGTAGCCAATCAGTGGTGAGGGTCTCAGCCTGCCGTTACTGACGTTCAACCAGAAAACATCAGCCGTTAGCTGTTAGCAGTTAGCACTCACATATCTGTTCAGAAACTGGACAAAAGTTAAACAAGTACAAACCACAGACGGTCTGTGTCATGGCGAATACAGTCGCTGCTTTATTTATGTCTGTAGGCCGTTGTTATGAGTGTGACCGATCGGAGCATATACAACGTTAGTTTAGCCTGATTGATCCGATCTTCATTCAGAAAATAAGCATTTTAAAAGGTTTTTTCGCCTGCCGTCTTGTCTGCAGACTTGTCAAGCATTAATTCATGGTTTTTACTAACCGGTATCAGTATATTGTTAGTTTGGCATCATTTTGAAATGTGTATTACAATTAAATCACAGTAAAATATGTTCATTTTGTTGTAGTTGTAGCCCCCGCGCCAGCGAGTCTTATTTGAATGATGTAAACACAGCTGACAGCCGCAGTGAAACCTTTATATATACAGTCTATGGGTGAAACTCGAGCGTTTAGAGCAGGGGTGAGAGAGCTACTTTTAAAGTTGCCAGACTGCCGAGATCTACCAGTCCGAATAGAGAGGCGTAGCCATTACTGACAGCCTACTACCAGGTAAATACACACTTCTACTTGAACAATGAATACTTCAGATCCTTTATTTTACCTCTTTCTAATCTACACACATACAAGTATTTAACTGAAGTTACACAACAGTGTAGTTGATACGGAGTTGGAGTTTATTCACACGTCACACTACAGTGGGTAATGTTTTCAAGAAACATTGAACAGTGCTGCCACATATGACACAGGAACAAAAGAAAAGACTCTGAACCCTTTCTTTGCCATTATATAAAAATAGTGTTGCTACAATAAAATAAATTAGGCTTACTAATAAGACAACTCAGATCTGAAGCTACACAGGAATCTGCTGCCAACGTGCAATAAAAAAGACACAATTTATAGAATCAAACCCTTTTTGTTGCATTTTAGTAGATTATAAAAAGAAATGCCTTTAAAATAGGATGCAAGCAACACTAGTTTCTTAACCTTAATTGATAGACTATAATCAATTTAAACAGAACAGATCTTAATGTTTGCATTCTTATACCATTTTGTGCAATAATTATAATGAATAAGTTCAAACAAACTAAAACTTACAGTTGATTAATAACGGTATCCAACTTGAGTTTTTATTATATCAAAAACCTGTTGAAATGCTTCTGTTATTTTTACTGTCCCCCAAAAGCGCGTCGGCAGCCTCCAGGAATGCTTCTTTCACAACTTCGCCGTCTTTGAAAGACTTCATGTGTTTCGCAAGAACGTGACTGACACGATAAGATGCTCTGGTAGCAGCCTTGCTCTTGTTGTTGGGCCTGGTGAAAATGGACTGCTGTGCATTTAGCTGTCCTTTCAGGCCCCTCCCCTTTTGGAGCGTAGGGCAGAATTAGGAGGGAATTCCGTCTCGTAGCGTTTGTGCACTGTTTTGAAATGCCGCTCCTAAATTACCCTTCTTCGATAAAGCCACGCTCGCATTGCAGATGAGACAGACGGACTTTGAATTGGAATAGATACAAAAATAATCATCCTCCCACTCGGAGTGAAAATTATATATTTTGGGCTTTTTTGCTTCTGCCATAATTGTGGTCTTGTGTGTGTGCGGACTGTGACTCCTGTTGACACGGACAACGTCAGCGAAATAGTGCATACTGCCCACTGCCTCGACTGGGAATCTCCCCGCGATCGACTGGTTGGGCACCCCTGGTTTAGAGCGATGCGATAAAAGCGATTAGAGCGAAGCGAATATTCGCATCGCGTTCGGTTTGAACGCAGCATTAGGATGTCAAAATGTAAAATACTTAGTTTAGCCATACAGTAGTTTTTTTAATGTTAAAGACTGCCTCCGCTGACAACAGAAATATTTTACTCACATTATATGACATCAAATACAAACACTTTTAGAAGAAGAGCAGAAGCCATATACTTTGTGGGATAATCGGCCTGCAACTAATTCATATTTTTGTTATCTATTTTTTCCGCAATTAATTATCTGTAAAAGAAAATAACATTTGAAGATAATAACCAGCTAGACATTAATTTGAATATCCAAATATTAACCAGCATAAATTATATTTGTTATTATTATATTTCAGCATCTTGTAAATAACTTTTCCGTCTACACTGTTAATATTAAATGCCATACAAATGTGTGATGATCATGTCCTGTGGTGTGAATTTCACTGTACGTGTGTCCTGTTTTGCGCATGTGTTGTGCGCTGTTGGTGCTCGGCGTTTGTTTGTTTTGCACGGTGTGTGTGTGTGTGTAGGACATGGCGGAGCTTCTTGCAGAGAGACAGCAGCTAGGGGAAGAGCTGAGGAGGCAGTTTGTGGATAATACACAGGGAAGCAGCCTAGTGAGACTCAGAATAAACAGCACGAGGCCCACTGGATGTGATGTGGATGTGTGTATGAAGATTAGGCATTTGTACTGAATGATGAGCCTTTATAGGAACAAGCACACTCTCAGAGATATTCTTGATTTCCTGAAATGAAATAAATACTGTTATACAGAGTGACGTTTGCTTTCATTGTTCTCTTTATTCTTACCATTTCTGCCTTCATTCCTCTGCTAGGAGGTGGAAGAGCTCCGTCTGGAGAGGATGCAGATTGATGAACAGTTGCGTCAGGTCACCCAGGGTCACCGCCCAGGTGACAGAGAGAGGGGAGAGAGGGGGGAAAGAGGAGGAGGAGGGTACAATACAGATGGCAGTGCCAACGCCTCCTCTTCCTCTTTACATGGCAGTCGCTCTTACAACGGTCAAGGGCGCGGGCGCAGAGGCCACGGCTACAGCACCGGATATGGTATGGAACTTACATTCAAAGTGATCAACTTATTTACTGTCAGACATTGTAGTGTTAACAATGTGTCATTAGTGTGAAAGAATCCAACTGTGCCACAGTATTACAATATCAGAGTGTGTTAGAGGGGCAGGGGCTCAAATTCATAAAAAGAATGCTTTTTTTTGTTGCCAAGCCTTAAAAGGTATACTCAAATGTATTATTTTTTTTTTAAAAACCCATGATGAAATTTAGATTTTGACTTTCCTGGGTTCTGATGAATATTTATGCACTTGTTTTTATTTATTCAGATTAAAACCCAAAATCCTATCACCATGTTTGCTGCTCTTCCTCAAAACGTTCTGCACATTCAAAACATGTTTTAATGTTCTCTGGAATTTTGAGAATAAAGTGGTAGTATTTTTTGAAAAATAAAGGACACAAGTGATTCCCAGTATTTGACCATCAGTCCTAAGCATAGACTGTATATATAAATGGACGTAGTGTCCGTGACGTCACCCATAGGATTCTGCAGAGTTGGCGTGAAGCCCTTAGTAGGCGGAGTCGGCCACTAACGGCTCGACTGTGACGTCAGAGTCTAATCCCGCCTGCTCCAAATAAGGGCAAAGAGGCGGGACCTGCTGCCTCCGAACTGGAAGTAAACAGAGCTAGCTCAGGCTAAGAAGCTAAGCTAACATGAAATACATGCTTACCAAGTTACTGCTAACAGTGTAGTTCCCATATATAAACGTTACATTCCTAATCAAATGAGACAATCTGCAAGAGAATTAGCTATATTTTGTTATTCTTAATGCTTGTCATTCACACGTTGAGAAAAGACGGACTCCACCGCCCGGACCTAACGGAGCCGCAGTGGGCTAGCTCCGGGACGCCGGCTGGAGCTAGCCCCCTGCGGCTCCGTTAGCTCCGGCGGCCACCACTGGGATAATTGGGTCCCCTATAACATTTGCTCCCGTTTAGCATTATGGGCGTCATAGCCATAGACTATAAAAGTCTTACCCAAGGCTGAATCATAAACTAAAATGTATATGTATGCATAAAGGATTACGTCCTTAGCTGGCTAATAAGTAACAAGCTAAGCTACCAAGCACACAAACACCTGCGAACGGGGTTAACATGTATAATATTATCATTTTAGACTTCTTGGAAGTTCTGTTAGTACATTCAAGCGCACAGCACGACATTTTAATTGTCTGGTATTTGTAATAATATTCCCTAAAAGGCACAATCACCACGAACACGGCTAAAGCTAAAGGGTCAAGTACTATGACTAACTAACGTTGTAGCCTCTATGGTTGTAGCCTAGCAGAGTGGACAAGTTGCTGTTAGCTGACAGTGAGGCATGTACGTGTCCATCAACGTGACCACGCCCTAATTTATGCAAAAACTTTAAAACTAGGGCCGGGACTTTAACGCGTTAATTAAGATTAATTAATTACACAAAAATTAACGCGTTAAAAAAATTAACGCATTTTAATCGCACTTATTTTTGCACCGCGGAACGTTTCTCACTGGATGAGTTTCAGGCGTACCGATTATACTGGAGCACCAACTAACGTTCATGACTTCAGACAACAACAAACCACAGTGAACAACAGTGGGAAATGTTGTTTTAAAAAACGGACGGATGGAAGCGTCGATAAGAGCACGGTTGTGTGCAAATTATGCAAAAAGGAATTCGCATATCACCGCAGCACATCAAGCCTCAAGTATCACCTCAATGCAAAACATATATCAGCTAGCGTGGACGTTAGCCTCTTTTATCGCGTTCACACCAAAAAGAGCCGGTACTAAAATTAGTTCATGAGAACCTTTTTACCCCCACGAAAGTCCCTGCTAGAGAGCAGAGCTGCTAGAGAGCAGGGACTTTCGTGCGGCTCTCTTGTGAGAAAAGAGCTATATTTCTGATTGGCTGGGCGGATTGCAAACCACGCCCCGTAAAACTCCCAAAAAGTTTTGTGAAGCCGCCATTTTATTATCCTCGCATTAGCATTATTAGCATTAGCCCAGCGCAGAAACGCAGAGAGACTAACTTATGGCAACACAAAATAAAACATGGGAGCGGTGGAGATGAGGAGGTGTCGGCGTTCTGGCGATTTACTCGGAAGGCTGCTGGGACTCCCAGCAGCTTCTACTGAAGCCAGTCCCCAACTCCGGGGACTTCCGGCCGGGGACTTTGGGCGGCAGTATACGACGTGAAGTGGTTTGCGGCCTGCCAGTAAACCCAATGCAGAAGAAGAAGAAGTGACGTCAGCGGCTTCATTTGCCTAATCCACCCCCAGGTTCAAAGAGTTCTCATGAACTAAGTTCTCATGAACCTTTGTGGGAAAAGTACTGCGGTGTGAATGCGCCTAATGGTATACTAAAATCCATGTGAAAAAAATTGCTTCTCACTGTTCTCAGGTCAAATATTTATATGTGATTAAAAATGCGATTAATTTCGATTAATTAATTACAAAGCCTCTAATTAATTAGATTAATTTTTTAATCGAGTCCCGGCCCTATTTAAAACCTAATATAAATAAAAGGGTCGTGTTAGAAAACAATTCACTCACCGATTCATAATCATGAAGGTGGAATCTAACTATATCGATAATAATATTTATTGCATCCATGGGTAGAAACATGTTTTTTTTCTGCTGTAAAGTTGGGCATTTTAACATGGGGGTCTATGGAAATTGCTCCTTTCTGCAGCCAGTCCCTAGCGGCCCATGTATGAACTGCAGTGTGTGGCACTTCCGTATTGGCGTCCCGGCTGTTCCCCAGAGTTTGCCGCTTGGTCCTAACCTGTCTGTGTGGCGGTCTCTCTCTCGTCCGTTTGCTTTGCTCTTCCAGGCACCAACTCTGAGCAGTCCAACGCCTCTGAGACAGACTCAGAGCGCAGGGATGAGCTCAGCGACTGGTCCCTGGCTGCAGACGATCAGGACAGGCGAGTTTTTAATATTTATTTTGTATAAAATTCACAAATGTACAAAATGTGAAGCTGTTTTTAGTGTTGGCTGTATCATCTCTACTGAAATGCAGCAACATGTTATATTGACTGACGGGTTGACTTACAGGGAGAGGGAGAGAGGCTCCCGGCCACAGAGAGACAGCCGCAGGAGGCCCGGACCCGGCAGAGGCAGAGGAGGGCCTGGAGGTCGGGGGAGAGGAGGAAGAGGAGGATACAGCAACAGCTCTGGTAAAAGTCACACTTGGAGGATTTGAAGAGTAGCACATACAATTGCCTTTCTCTCGTAAAAGTCTAGTTCGACTTACCTATAGAGTTGTGCAGGAATAAGTCCTTAACCCGGATATGAGTTTGCATTTAAACTTTCTTGAAGTACCTCATCTCCAAGTCAATGGGTTTTTTGAATGAGTTTTGGTTAGATATATTATATAAAATATGTCTGTCATAAAAATGGCGGTTGCAAGCAAGTGACTAACTAAGCTTCATCACGTCAAACTTTAGCCACCATAAGTCGTTTAGATTGTTTCTAGCTTTACGTTAGCTATTTACTTCTGTCGATTGCATTTGTGCTTCAACTGTTGAACATATAAGTATCATATTGATTCTTAGTGACAAATAAATCCATTGGCGTTCGGTGGCGAGAGCCCTTGCAAGCCTACAGATATATGTCATCATTGCGTCACTATTACATCTGTGAATGTTGACCCTTCAGCCGGGCCTCGCGACCATGACGATAACAGTGCCTACAGAGTTGCGGAGGCAAACACTGAGACAGACCAGACTGCTGATACGGATGCAAGCGAGTCCAACTTGCCTGCAAACCGACGCAGGAGATCCCGAAGGCGCAGAACAGACGAGGAAACCACTCTGATGGACGGCATGAGCGAGTCGGACAACACCTCAATGAGCGAAAATGGAATAGGTAGGGAAGCCACTGCTTACCTGACTTATACTCCCAAACTCAAACAGTACAAACATCTCAAACACTGTGGTCAAAAGGTGTGTCATACATTTCCTAAAGCTACTAGTTCTGTTTCCAGCTGTGGGAGTTGTGCAGAATGTGCATCATTTCCCATTTGAAGTGTCAAAGGAGCCTGTGCAGTTTAAAGACAGGCCTCTGGTCCGAGAGGCATTTTAAGCCTCAAATCCCTCTCTTTGTGCTGGCCTAACACCCTTAGATGACTCAGAAGCTAAACCTCAGCGTCGTAACCGTAGTCGACGTCGCCGCGCCCGCCTGCCTGAGGAGAGGCAGCCAGGTAACCATGGCTACTGCCAGTATACTCCTCCCCTAAACAGTGCTCCTAATGGCTTGGCTAAAAGGTTGCACATATCACCAACAACATACTAAATCAAAGGGTTGTTGAAATGGTTTAGATCTTATTAATAATGATGGAATTGCTTGTTTTTGGATGTGGTTGATTTACTAGCCTAAACTGTTCACTGGTTTGCCGTGCAATTTAGAAATATGCATCGTAATACTTCACTAACCACTATAATACAGCTTGTCTGTATTCACGTTGTCAGGCTGTCAATGGCAGTCCTTGTTTGTGTGGTGTGTCATAGTAAGCCTAACCTCCAACCCTCTGTTCTGTGTTACATGTCAAGAATACATGGCCTCAAGTTAGGCTATTGTATTCTACATACAGAAGTCTAAAAGTGCTGATAGGCTCCTTTCAGACAGGATCTATTGTAATGTTCTTCACATCACTACCAGAGTGTTGTGTGTGAAATTAATATGTTGTGATTGTGAGTGACAAATATATATATACACTGAGAGAGAACTCCTGATTCAATGTCATGACCAGGTTTTGTCTTCTGTGCGTACAGTGTCAGTGGCTGACTACATATCCCGGGCTGATTCTCAGAGCAGAGAGATGACAACCACCAAGGACACCAATAAAAACAAAGATGTGGTTAGTATCTAAATGTTACGTCTTTATTCTGGATGGTTTCTATTTCTACCCCTCAATTTAGAAGCTTTCTTTATGAAATATGTTATTCCCCGCAACTTAAGGTTGAATTTGTTTCAATTTATGTTTTATTTTTATAAATGATATGGTCACAGGGCAAAGACAACCAAATCAAATACTGTTAAAACCTACTTACATAAAATAACAATACACAAATTGGAAAAAAGAGAAATGAATGATCAATATAATATGTAGGATATAGTTAACCGCTAACAAGTACATCATTATTCTCTTAGTACATTGTCAATGGTCACATCTAACTGGAGGGTCAATAGTAATGTTTTGTGCTCTAAACCTCAACCATTTTACCAATCGATCGTCTGAGATAACAACTTATTTTCTCAGGTTTTCATTCCATATATTTAATCTACAAGATTCTTACATTTGGAGTTTATTAAGTTATCATTTTTGTAACCCCTTTCATTGTAATTTGTTTAAATATTGCTACTCTTATTACTTGGAATAAGTAAGAATCTGTGTTATACTTTCTCAGTAGAAGGAGAAGTGGGTTTTTAATGTAGAGATGATTCCCAGAAGCCACTTCTAGCTTTACATGACCGAATACATCACTATGGTTATCCATCGCCTCACCGCAGTCTCTCCAGCCTTTTGACTACATGTGTCTAACCCTCATTTCTGTCCAGGGTCAGGTGGATGCCATTGCTGAGGACAGCCCGCCGTCGGCCCCGGCAACTACCAACGGCTCTAACAACAATGCTGGAGACGGTGAGCGCAACAAGTCTCCCGCCAAAGTCTCCTACCAAGGGGACTGCAACCCACAACCTGTCGCTAACGGGCTCTCCTAGTCAGACCTGGGCGAAGGAAATGGTTTCAAATATTTGAAATTCTTTGGCTGCACTCAATTGAATCTCCCTGTCTCTGGAGCAGCTTTGTAAGGAAAGCATTTAAAGCACTGTTCTCTTTTTTACAAGTATTTGAAACCTGTTCTGCAGTTTAAGAGGTCTGAACTCCCCTTTACACATGTTCTGTCCAACTATTCATTTGAATCGGTTTTTTATTATTACGATAGTTCTTCCTGTATAAGCTTGCCAAAGATAGTCAAACACACACGGACATCTACTTAACTGTAATTCTCAGTCCACTCTTCACTGAATGCAGTATTTATAAAATGCAGACAGGGATTATTGGTAAAAAAACAATATCATAGCAGGATTTTAGAATGTGTCTGCCTTTTACCAGGTGGACTCACAACCTTTTTTCAGGATGTTTTGTGCATCTGAAGTAGTACATAAAATATTCTGCATGAGCAGCACCACCACCGTACAGATAGGTTTGTTCGGAAACCCAAGTATGTCTGACATACATGTGATCATCTGTTGTGCCTTGAGAGTAGATTCAACATGTTGTTGCCTGGCTCTGCACAACATCTGAAATCTTTTCACTTATTTCCGTGTTACTCCATCAGCCCCGCCTCCTTGTACTGCATGGGTCCTTCTAGCACTGTAGGCAGGTGGAGGCCAACACTGAAAGAGTGTGAAAGGATTTCGGAGGCATATCTCTATAAAATCAGGTGTGTCTATTCTTAATGTTTGTGGAGAAAATGAGTCCAGTTATCCTTTATATATATATATATATATAAATATATCTGTTGAGGAGTTTGACATTAGCTGCTTTCTGTTTTTCAATATGCAACCACTTTGGTCATATAAGAATTGTTATAACTGCGTGTCTGGAAAAGAAACAAACAATTGAGGAGTTGTTTTCTTCGCACTGAAACATAACCTTTTTTTCTCTTTAAAAAATTGATTGTAGTTGAGTCTGGAAACTGTCCTGTTAAGTGCTGGACAGAAATGTAGCCATCAGTGAAACATCGAATTAACATCAGGCACTTCGAATTTAGAGCAAGAGGGTTGACGAGTGCTGTTTTCTGCCATAACTCCAGCTAAATGAAGAGAATCAAAGCTCATTTAGAGCGTCTTAGGGGCTATATACCCTTTGTGTGCCCCTTATTGCAAAAGTCCTGTGTTGACAACCCTGGTGTGATGTTGCTAGAAAACAAAGCCCAGGTGACGATGATGTCATTTTCATGGTTCTTCCACAGACTGGCTAGCTGGAAACTGGTCACGACTGTTCCACTAAGAAAGGAGATTTATTTGGTTTATTTATTTTAAAATGTACAGTATTTAAAAAAAAAAAGCAAAAAAAAGAGAAGCTCTCCTTTTTCTTGACACTAAAATATGCGTTACCTAGGTTTTTTTGAGACAAATGACAATTTGGACTACTGAGAGTTGTGACATCCCAAGTGTTTTTGTTGGGTCACCTACAGTATGTTTTGTTTTTTTAAAGGATCATTCTGGTTGGTTGATGTGCAATATGTTTTGTATGCAGGTAGTTCTTAAATAAACTCGATCTTCCATGTAGATCTAAAACTCAACTGTGTCTGACTCTTTGAAAAAAGCAATATGGGACAAATACAATGCAAAATGATGTTTGATTCAGTTTGGACCTGAAAGAGTGAATGTTATCTGATTTACATTTTAAGACAGTTACATTTTTCTAGAAGAGCATGATGAGTTCCTGTTTATACTGTTCCACTTTTTAGGATTTAGCCATGAAATTATATTTAAGTAGCCTAGGTATAGGATCAACCATTTGTGGTAACTATTTATATTTGGCAATTTATTCTAGAAATAGAAGGTCACTTTAGGACGGACCATGTTTATTTTTATTTTAATGATGAATAAAATATAGTTTAAGTCCCCGTTTGTGTAAAAGTATTCAAAGTAAATCTAAAATACAATGAAATATTTAAGTACAATTGCATTGATGATTTGTACAGTGATTTTATTTGAGAACAATCGGTTAGAAAAGTCTGGTAATTGCTCATGTGAGTCAGTGTGGATGAAAAGTATGACTTCATCTCCTCTACTTCTTTCCCGCGGCATCCAAAAAATCCTTTGCTTCGTTTATCTTAGCTGCTAGGTAGGGAGATCCTCCTGTGACACACATTGAGATTCAAGAAAGCCCAAATGAATAATCTGAATCATTGCATACATTTACAAATAATGTAATTTTCAGAAAAACAAGCCGTTTCTCAACAAGAGGGGAAAAGTTATAATGCAGTGTACTGTGAGACATTAAAAGGAAAATACAGGAACCAATGAGAAACTTAAGTAAGCCTTGCTTACCTCTATCTGGATGGTTCAGGGTCATCAGTTTTCTATGTGCCTCTCTGACCTTTATCTTGTTGGCTGTGGGACTGCAAGGGGAACAAAGATACAACATATTATTATAACTATGTGAATGGTGGTGGTTAAGAGTTGATCTGCTGTAATAGTAGGGATGGGTATCGTTAAGGTTTTAATGGTACTACTACTTTTATCCATACCGCTCATCGATCCAGTCTTTTAAATGGTACTTTTATCGGTTCTTTTGGAGAGAGAAATAAGGTAAACTAACTAAACAAATCGTGAACAAAATTAACATTGCTTTTTATGTAAATTAAATACATATTATTTCACATCAAAAGAAACAATGCAAATTGTATTAAATAATCTGATGACAGAATTGTAAACAGAATAGCTGAACTTTAACTAAATAAATAACTCAGTTACCTCTAATCATTAACCCATGTTTGTATCATTTAGTTGACTCCGTGTGTTGCTGCTAGCATACATAACACCTGACTATAACCTGGGGTTATAGAGCTAGAAAGACAGTCAAAAACCATGTATTTCTCCGTCTGGATGTGGAGCACTTTTGCTAAATGTTTAGACAAATTGCTCGTGTTACCGCCCTTACATGCTAAACTCTTATGGTAACAAGCATTGTCCACATCGAGACGGGTAAAGTTTAACCACACCTTTGAGCGCGTTCTCTCCGCCATCTCCTCCGTGTGTGTGTGTTGCTGCATGTAGCAGCCACGTGTGTGTAAACTGCCCCGCCCCCTCGCACACAGACGGGGGAGAGAGAGATCTCTGGATTGGAAAGATCGACGCATTTTGCAGTCTTTTTTCACAAAAAGGATTACAAACGGAGTTGGTGACACTAAAACTGCAATATAATGTTTGTGTAGCATAATATATATGACATATTTTTTTAGATGTCTCCAGTACCGATACAAAGACCGATAACATCGGAGCTTAACGGTACCACGGCCTTTAATAATCCAGCCCCGGGGGCCGTGTAATACCGGGGCTTGGTACCCATCCCTATGTAATAGGGAGTTAAATTGCAGACGACGGCAAAACAGGTTAACATGCAGCAGCCCTTAACCCATTTGACGTACTGTAACATAACTGAGTGTCCACAAACCTGACACCTAAAACCAGGGAAGCTTCTCTCTTGGACATCTTTGGATCAAATCCACCTTTATAGTACCCTCCTCCAAAAGCCTGAAAGAAAGAAAGAAAATGTACATTTCATATCACAACATGATGGGTCCGCCAACTTTACTTACAAACAAGCTAATTAGTCAAAGGTAATGCGAGTACAAGAGATAAACAGCACATAGTCATTTTATTTTGCAGATAAACTTCTGAGCATCTCCTTACTGTTTTTGGGAAGCTCTGAATAGCCATTTTCATCTGAGGCTCCATCTGCTTCATGGCCTTCATGGCATAGCGACCTGAGACAAAGAAGAGGGAAGCATGCAGTATATTTATATCGTGTGATATTAATATTCGTGAGGTCTACTATTTTTAACACTAAAACAAAAAATAAACTGTCATTTTTTAAGTCAGGCTGGGTGTTTTTTATTCCATATGACTATCACTGTATTGCAAACGTAACAAATGATTATATTCAATTCTTATGCATTACATCAGGAAAACAAAGAAATAGACCAAACCTTACTCATGTTGTTAGTTTTAGAAAACGATCATAATCATATTTCTAATTGTGCATATGTCACTCCGGGTTTACTGTGATGTTTAGGGATAATGTCCTGATGTGACATCAGTGTCACAGCAATATTTCTCTCATTTGTTTCATATCAATTTGATCAAGAAATGTTTCTACAACAGGTTAAAAGTAATCAGAATCCCTTTATTCGTCCCACAGAGGGGACATTTACATTTGTTACAGCAGAAAAGAGCCAAAGACAGCTTAATGTTTAACAAAGGACATGTCATGTAAGCATTTTTATTATTGTGTTTTACTTTTAGGCTGTCTGAAGGTATGGACAGCTATCATAGCTACTATACATCACATTAAGAACGATGTACAAATGAAAGTCGGACACAAATATATAATATAAAAGATTTATTTAAGTACGCAATGTTTTGAACAGGCATCCACAGTCTCCTACTTTGTTCGATACCTCCCTGTAAGCGTCACAATATCGACCTCTCACCCACAACCTCACATACGAGTACTGAATGTGCATCAAAGTGATCCTACAGTATGTAGGCAGATATAGCAAAAGATAAACATAAAAGTAAAAGACAAACGAGGCGATCAAAATGTTTATTTCCTGGTAAGTCAACAATGGGTCCTCAATGTACACGCCCCGGATTCATGTGACGAAAATAATAGAATGCCGCCAGTTGTCATGACTCTATTTATACTGTAACACCGTCTTGTCTGCACACTTGTCAAAGCATTAATTCATGATTTTTACTAACCGGTATCAGTATGTAGTTACTTCGGCATCATTTTGAAACGTGTATTACAATTAAATCACGGTAAAATATGTTCATTTTGTTGTAGTTGGTATTTACCATAGTATTTACATGGAGATAAGCCCCGAATATTCGCATCGCTCTAATCGCTCGAGTCTCACCGCGGCTGTCAGCTGTGGTTACTCCTGCCATTCAAACAAGACGCCCTGGAGAGGGGGCGGGGCTTATATCCATGCAAATACTTTGGTAGATACGATACCAACTACAACAAAATGAACATATTTTACTGTGATTTAATTGTAATACACGTTTCAAAATGGTGCCGAAGTAACAACATACTGATACCGGTTAGTAAAAACCATGAATGGATGCTTTGACAAGTCTGCAGACAGACGGCAGGCGAAACACCTTTTAAAATGCGTGTTTTATGAATGGATATTGGATCGATCAGGCTAAACTAACCTGTAGCTGCTCCGTCCACACTCACAACAACGGCATAAAGACATAAATAAAGCAGCGACTGTATTCGCCATGACACAGACAGTCTGTGGTTTGTATATGTTTAACTTTTGTCCAGTTTCTGAACAGATATGAGGAGCTGTGAGCTCACGGCTGATGTTTTGGGACATGTTGCGCTGTCGGGTGCTGACCAATCACGAAGCGCCATTTCTTGACTGGCAGCAAAAACAACCAATCACAGCAGTGCTTCTCTGGCTGGCTCTGTCCAATCACAAACAAGAAGTATTCTCCCTAAAGGAATACCCTTTCCGTATAAGTTGAAATGTTGAAGTGTTTTCTGAAATGCTGTTTTGACTTGCACTTCAGGGCCACCGTAGATAACTAATCAAACTATAACTCTGTAATATATCCACTGTGGAACGATCTGCCCCTGTCGGCTACCACACTGCCTGCTTTTAAATCGCTTCTTAAAACCCACCTCTTCTCCTTAGCGTATTAACATCTTTTAGAGAGTTGCTTTTAAATTGTTTTTACTTGTACTTGTTTTATGGTGTGTGAGCTGAGCTGTGTTGCTTTTTGTATGTTTTGTTTTGGTTATTTGCCTGTACAGCACTTTGGTCTGGAGGTTTAAAGTGCTATATAAATAAAACTGTATTGTATTGCATTGTATATGATACTACTGAATTAAAGCCAACTTAAAAAATGCTGCATTTTGAGAAACTGTTTATCTGGAACTTATTGTCTTCATTTCATGTTTTAAAATAATAACCTCTGTTTATCTTTTCACCAAGCTTCTATTCTAAGTGAAGCATTTACCATTACCGTTACATTATTTGTATGTTTGTCAACTTTGAATTAGTCGTCGTCTCAAGGTGAACTAATTCTAAGTTTAACTTTTCCACATTCTCTGTCAAGGTGATACACAGGGTTGGGTTGTAACGGAATAGGCCTACATGTAACGGCGTTACGTAATCAGAATACAAAAATCAAGTAACTGTATTCAGCTCGCGTTACATTTGAAAAACGAGTAATCTGATTACAGTTACTTTCGTAAACCTGAAGTGAATACATTTTGGATTACTTATTGGAATTATTGGTTGGAAGATTTCCTCACAACATTTAATATTCATTACTAAAGGTACAGCCGAATCATCACAGCGCAAAACCTATTACCGCCGCAGATGGACCAAAAAAGGGAGCGCTTGAAAAAAAATCACGGGTCCGCTCAGTGAAACAATAACAGCGAACAAAAGTCTGCGTTTAAAGTGTGTAGAGGTGTGTGTGGTTAAAACACACCAGCCTGCGGTCGCTCTTTAGCCTTTCTAATGATTCTGAAGGTAAACACAGTGAAGGCGGTGCGTGAAAGGCACGGCGCGCTCCTCTTCTCAGAGGCTGAGTTAACCCTCCCGCTGCCTCAGAGATTTCATGAAGTGATGGAGGTTTTCCTTCTATAAAACAGCTGCGGGCAGCAGATACTGTGAGAGTCACAGACATGAATACATAGATCAAGGCAGACTGGTGCACACACTCTCCTGTTTTGCCGATCCGGTGCTTAAACAAAAATACACCCCTGGCCGAAATGTCCTTAAAAGGATGTCTGAGTTTGACATTTTAATTCATGTCCTGCCAACACTGGCAGGACAGTAGGCGACACGCCCGTTCTAAGCCGTGTCCCTCACTCCTCACATCCCAAACTGCATCCCCAAAAAGTTTATTATGTTGTTACATCGTTTCAGATGTTGTGTTTCAGTTGTGCTCTTGATAAGCCATTAAAACAGTAAAAACACGTTCAGTTTCCTTTTTGTGTCTCCTGTTCACCAAAACATACCCATCTGTGATGGAAAAATAAAGTAATCCAAAAGTAATCTAAAAGTAATGGGAATACGTTACTTTTTTAAGACACGTAACTGTAACTGTATTCGGATTACTTTCAGAGTAATCAGTTAATCAATTCAGTAATCAGTAACTGATTACATTTACAAAGTAACCCTCCCAACCCTGGTCATACAGTATTTATCAACATGGTCTCACCTGCATATCCAGCTGCTGCCAGAGCCAGTCCCACAACCACCATGGAACTGGCCTGGAGATAGTAGAGAAGAGTCAGAAATACATTAGCCTATGTTATTAAATTATAAGGACACACAGTACTTCTATTCACAAGCTGTCATTCCGTCGCAATATAAACAATGCCACATGACCAAGGTAACGCATATGTGTCGAAGCCTATGCAGTTAACGTTCGCTACGTTTATCTTAAAATCACAATGTATTATCTCTTGCCATGCTAATGTTGTAAGCTGGCTAATCAAAGCGTTATATCAGACGTGAGCTGGGTTTGGTCACGTTGTGTTTGGTAATGCAAGTGCATGGAAGGCTAACGTTAGCTTAGCCCTTCAGAACAAACGTTAGTTTTCTTCCAGCAGAGTCGTTATCATGCAGCTGCTTACTGACGTTCTCCCCAGTTCGTAAATAACAAGTCCAACTTACCATGTTTGTGTGTTACGTCTCGTCTCTGTTAAAGATTACGATCATAACTTTTGACCTCTCATGTTTTCGTTGCTGCATGTGTTTGTGACGGAAATAGCGGAGAACTGTCGCAAAGCGTTGACATCCGCTGTTTGCTCTCTGTCAATCCTCCCCTGGTATTCTGTCAACAATTTGAATATCCAGCCCCACCCACGACACTATTTAATCTTCCACACCTGCACTCCAACGTTTGATAGCAAATTCTCCTTCTGAATGCAGGTTAAAGATTGGAGTTTACTTTTTTGGAGGTAATGAAAATCTTATTTTATTTTTCAATGTTGTTACCTTGACAGATAGCTAAGACAGCAGTATATTTCTATGAGGTTCAGCTAAAATGTGGGCACATGTTCTAATGTTAGCTAATGTTATCCTGCATGCAAACATTCACCTTTCCTCTAAAAGGTTGTGTTTTAAAATAACTGCAAACATTTGAAAGGCTACCTATCATTTGGCATACCCATGTTCTTGATATTAACATACATTGCAATGTGTCATTAAGAGGATATAAAGTTGGGGAACGTAGGACCCACCTTATTGATAATGGTATTTGTGGCTAGTTAGCTTTACCTTACTGCATTGCTAATGCTGCAACCATGTAACTTTTGTCCAACAATGTGGCAGTGGCGAGCCGTCAGGGCCCTCTGTGAGGGCCTAAGATATTCTAAAAAATAATATTTGAAAACATACAAAAAAAACATTTTCTTTTAAAATATTTTTTTTTAAATATTTTTGTTGTTACATTTTTCATTAGTTTTACCAAAATAACTTGATTTAATTGTATTTAAAATAACATTTCCAAATAAATAAATCCTTCGAATCTGCCTGTTCAGTTTCTGTTGGAATATGAAGGGTTAAATGCCGTCTCTGCGAGTTACTGTGAAGACGGGAGAGCTTGTTGGTCCCTCTGCACATTCACAGAGGGCCCGCTATAGTAACTCAACCAGTGCCCTAGAGAGATAAGAGTTACGACACTCTTTGATGTCGCCGCCAGCCGGTCACGTGGTTTATGTATGCCGGGATAGTTCAAAACGCACTTCCGTTGCAATGCTTCTCTATGGCAAAAACAGCACAAACATGGTCAAAATAGTCATAGATTAAACCAACGCTGTTATTTTTTAAAGATTGCTTTTATATTTACATGATGTGGTTACACTTTGTATGGATTGGCACTATTTATAAGTTTCGTTATTTAACGATATTTTGAGGGGAAAGTGTGGTAGCACAAGCAGGCTATGTTGCTGTCACTGCCAGGGCAGTCACGTCCGTAGTATAGTTGCGCTGCGCTGTCATGTTCTTCTATGGGACAGACAGACAGCAGCGATTGCGTTATTTAATGGTAAATATATATATATATATATAAAAAACACACACCCAAGTACTTTTTCAGCTGTAATTGCATTATTGCATACTTTTTATTGACAGTTTTAACTAAAGTCTGATTCAACACTTGATTAGATTTCACATCATTCATCCACATCTGTAAAGTAACTAAAGGTATTAAATACATGTAGTGGAGTAAAAGTACACCATTTACCTCTGAACTGTAGAGGAGAAGAAGAACAAAGTAGCAAAACATTGAAATACTTAAATAAAGTACAAGTATCTCAAAATTGTACCCAAGTATAGTACTTGAGTTTATGAATTTAGTTACTTTACACCAGATGCCATAAAGATAGAAAGACTAAGCCTTGCAGAGGCATGACAATAGATTTTCAAAATGCTCAACAGTGCTGCCAAAATTATAAACTGACTGCTACACAATTAAAATAAATGCTTTTATATATTTCTATTAGATGTGACTCTTTAGCGTTTCTGTTATTATTAACACTGCTGCTTTAGTTGTTTTGACTGCTAAAATCCTCTGTTATTCCTCATTTTAAAGCCGATATTCCGTGGGGTCGGGGGGCTCGGGTCCTTGTCACCTTTTCCATACCTGATGAGTTTGCATCCCTGATAATACTTAGTAAGGAGGCCATAATATTTTTGACTCATGGCTGAAGTTAAGTTTCTCCAGCTCTCCCCAGGTTGGCAAAAAAATGCATCTCAAAATGCATCAGATTGATGCTTTAAAATATGGAATATTCAAAATGTTCTTCCGGGGGAGCATACATCTTACCCCCGGACCCCCCTAGAGGGATAATATCCTTCTCACCCCTGACCCGTTTTCATGCCTGTACTTAGATACGTTTTACATTTTTGGAGGGAAACGTTTGTGTTCATGTTAGCATGGGTAGCATGATCATGTTAAGACTAGGAATATCATTTTACCACAACAGTGGATGAACAATTTATATATGTGTTTGAACAAGAACAACAGGAAGAACAAAGTAAAAGGGACGAACACATGTGTTAACAAGTATTAAGAACAGTGTATGGAAAAAGTGATGTGATGTGGGATGTGTGTTAGAACAAAACAAAGTAAAATGAATGAGAAGGGGAACAAAGAGGGTTAGGGTTCAACAGAAAAAGATTAATTCAGCCAAAAAACACAATTTTGATTAATCTAAAGTGTAAAACAATCTTCAACACAGACCAAATTAGTGCCCTTGGACAACAAAACATCTGGTGGGGCAAAGAAACGATAAATTAAATTGAGAGAGTGGGAGACTAAAAATGATTACTATGATACATATTCAAACTATTTACAAAACTATTTACAGAAGCTCCTGTTGAACCAGCAACAAAAACAGGTTTGTCAACAATAACGAGGCCACTTTGCCAGGGGGAGGTGATCCAGCGACGAGACAATAAAGCAATTCATATTAGGTTCTGTTGAGACACTACAGAATATAAAACCTTCCAAGCCATGACCTCTGCCTGAAATCAGGACCACTCAGAGGAGAATGCAGCACATCAAACTGGAGTCAGGAGTGTGAATAACACATTTTGACCAAAACAAATTGTTGCTTACCAATACAGTGACTGAACATTGGACACCAAAAAGTTTGACCTCATGTCGTCACGCAACACTGTTACTGCCCTAAGTCATTTCAAGATGGAGGAGTATGATAAGGCCATCAGCTTCCTCCGGGACTCCATCCATCTGTTTCGGGGCCTGAAGATCGGTCCCAAGGGCAGCTGGAAACCAGTCCAGACAGGACTGGTGATGGCCACAACAACAATCCTGGAGGTCCAGCATGACCTGTTGAGACAAGGGCACACATTTGTTCTCACAAGCCGCTTCACTCAAGACTGCCTGGAAAACACTTGTTCGTCCATTCGTCTGAGGAACTCTGTCCAACACCTGTAGAGTTCCAATATGCTCTGCGCGTTGTCACTGTGGGTGAAAAAAAAAAGTGCTAATTATTTTTTTTTTAAAGTGTTTATTTTGTTAAAAATAAACATTTTGGATGCATGACCATGTTTTAGGCTCATCCTTCATTCACTGCTGTAGAGTAGCCTATTCAGTAGGCTATTATTTGTTTAAGACTGAATAATACCTTTGAAGAACAATCATTAAACTAGTGTGTATATTACAATACAAAGGAATCTATCCTAGCATGCCATCAAGCATTAAAAAGTAGCGCTAGGCTAGTTGTACAGTACAGATGAGTTAACATGGAACAGTACCAAAAAAAACAAAGTACAGTCAACATGTCACATAATGAAATGTTAGTATATCCCAAAATTCAATGAAATATTAAATGAAATATTTATCACAAACGCCACCTCATTTCTACTAGTGCTAGCAGTTAAGTCATATCATACAGAAAAAGCCGACTAAGGATGGCTGACACGATCAGGTTCAGCGGATAAAAACCAAAATAACAATAAAAACACATAATCAATCTAAATCCTGCTTGTTAGTTACCCAGCATCATTGATATATAAGCTGCTAGCGATTCATTACTGAAATCTTACCTTCAAAGCTGACGAAGTCGCGCTAGCTAACTAGCAGGCAATGCTAGCTAAATTGGTTGTAACAACCAAGATAAAATATAGATAATTACGCTGTGCATATACAAATGAAGACCAGTATAAGCATCATAAAGGGCCTCTGATACAATATAGACAGTTGACAATTCAAAACAGTTCGATATTTCAGCAACTTACCTCTGGAACCAGGGGCGTTGCCTGGACCTGGAAACATTCGGGGCTTAGCCCACAGTGGCGGTGCTACAGTCGAATTTTCTACTGCAAGACTCCCCACACGCACATACACAATTGCGCCATCTGGTGTCACAAACGTGTGTCTGCATTAGCTTTGTTACGGCAATGGATTGTGGGAGATTCTCATAGCATGTGAGGATTTCTTGAGGGTAAGGTGCCTGTATTATCTCGGTGGACAAAATGTATGTTTTTATTTTATAAGGACAATAACGTACTGTTGTGTTTGTTTAGTTTAATGTTAATTGTTTAATGCTCACAGTCACAGCAACATGTTTTTGTGTGATTGGTTTTATATGATTTATCAACGTGATCATCAATAGCTAATCTGAGCACCAGAACTCAGCTCACGTGTCCTTTTATGCTGTCCATTGAAATGCAGGAAAGTAATCACCAGCTCTGAGTGATCTGTTGCCGAGGGGACACTACACCGGAGTTACATAAGCAGAGATAAAGTGCTATTTTGAGGGATCTCACCTCCTCTGGGGTCCAGGGGGAAGAATTGTTTTAAATGTTGAAGTTAAAAGCATCAATCTTGTGTACTTTGAGAGCAACATTAAGAGATATGGATACATCTCTCAACACCCATATGTCAACAAAAATCAAAGAATCAGAATCAGAAACGGGTTTATTATTTAAAAACACTTTATTTTCCAATGAAATCATAAACTATGTCAAATTAATAGAAGTTGTTAGTAATCAGATTAAACAGAAAAAAGGGATGGAAGGAGGAAATAATAATCCCTCATCACTTGCTGTTTGTGGTTGAAATGATCTCTTTTGCTGGCCAAACATGCTGGATGGAAAGCAGTGATGTCTCACTTGCCTTGGCCCTGTATCTGCAGTCCCTAAATCAGTCATGTTACCCATTGACTCTTGTCTGTTCTGGTGTTCCTGTTCATTGTTGTCTCCATTATTGTTCTTGTCTGTTGTTTCTCCTTCTTGTGTGTCCCTTTCTCCTGTTCTCCTTTTCTTCATCCTCTACTCTGTT